TTTTTTAACTAAGTCCGTTTTTTATGTTAACTTGTATTCATTACTCTTTTCCGATCTTCGATTGGCATTTTTTAAACAAAAGGCTATAATTCTCTGAAATGTCATCTTTCTGATTTGTTGATCTTTTTATTCTCGATAATTATCGCGCCAATTTTGATATCATGGTTTAATCGACACAACAGGTTGTTGGAAGCTCGCCTTTATAATTTGCTACGCCCAGTTTCTTAGGTGTTTAATCGAGCTACCCGATCTTGGGATTTTTCTCTGCTGTACTGGCCAATACCTCCCTTTAGCAGAAAAACGTTACGCGGATTTCGGAAAGTCAAGTTTTCGAATTCTTTCTGTTTTTTGTAGAAACTTTTCGAATTTTTTTAAAAACTTCACTATCAAATCTGAGATGAAATTTTCGATCGAAAAAAAGCGGTTGTGGAAATTTTTCCGCGGAAGTGTTTGCTTCTAGACCTTCAAAGAGCTTTAAGTTCATCTAATTTTTTTGCTTGAAGTTTTTAAGTTGAATTGAACTTTTTTCTGTTTCCTTGCGTTCATTCATTCTTTTCCAACTGTCTGCAAACTCCGCGATCGAAGTCTAAAAACTCACAAAAATTGTGGTCGACTTCTTTTTAATCTCGACTTCTGTCACATAATGAAGCAGTTTTCTCAAATTGGGTTAACTTTATCAGAAAAGTGTCAATCATATATTTTTCTTAAGTTTTAAAGGTATTTTTCAGAAACCCTTATTTTTTTTTGTTTTTGCGTTCATTGATTTTTTTAAAACTTATTTGGCTATGTTATGGTTCGTATTGGTTTTTTTAAGAAAAAATCTGAAAGTTTGTTCATGTTCGAATTTGATGCATGATTTATGATTTTTCTTTCCGAACAAGATAGTATTTTTTTTCGCTTCTTTGCGTCCCTTGACTCTTTTTCACATTTCTTTTGGCGATGTTTTAAAAACTAAGTTCCTTACTTAGTTAAAAGTGTAGTGCTGGATCGAACAGCCAAAGTGTTAAGGTCGCGAAAAACGTGATCGACTTCTAATTTCGAAGGTGGATTTTACCTTTCAGATTTCTCATCAGACTCTGAAACTTATCTTTGGATCCAGTTTTCTCACTTTGTGTTATTTTCATCAAAAAATTGTCAATAGTTCTTTGTTTTTGAAATTCAAGAACTTTGAGGCTTCATACTTTTACTTGAAAATCGAAAATTGAAGGTTTTTCGAAAAACAAGTCAGCAATCTTTTTCTTTCCTTGCCTTCATTGACTCTTTTCCAACTGTCTGTCAGTCATGTTTCAGTTTTTCACGCTTGCCATTAGCAAGCGTTATCGAATAGGAAAAAAAGACTTTTTTCGGGTTAGCAACTACTGAAACAAAATCAATTTCATGAAAGTTCAAATTTAATTACTGGTTGGATACTAGTTTTTACAGGGTAATTTCAGGGGTAATCGAAACTTTTACGGTTTTTTTCAAAGTTGGTTTTTTACCAACACATTTAGTGTCGTCTACCCAAAGATTGTCGGCTTTGTTTCTGCTTCCTAAGTTTTGCTCAGTTGGTAGCAGTTGCTAAATTGAATTTCAAATGTCTGGCTTGGCATTGTTGCCTAGAATTCCTGTTTGATAAATTTAGGTAATATGAAAATGTATGGTTTTTAAAGAGTAATGAAAGTAGTGAAGACCCTCATATAGGTCTTGCTGACTTTTAAAAAAAAATTTTAGGGTAAAGACTTAATTTATTGATGCACTTAGGTATAATGCTTTTTTTGAGTTCAATTGAAATTCATCTGCTGAAAGTGACATAAATAGCTTTTTGCAAATAGGAACGTGGAACATGGAATTTGCTTTTAAGATTTCCCAGCAGAATAAAAACTTTACTTATCGATTCAGTTTTCTCAATTTGGTTTCATGTTATCAAAAAAGCGCCAGTCATAAATTGTTCTAGAAATTCAAAGAGATTAAAGGGCATCTATATTTTTCTTTGAAATTCAACGGTTGAGATTTTTTCAAGAAAGTCAGGGTTTTTTTATGTTTTCTTGCGTTCATTACTCTTTTTGAATCTTCGATTGGCTATGTTATTTTTTGAGACGCTTTAGAAAACTTTATTAGTTTTTGCACAAATTCCTTCTACCGATTTTCAAAAAAGAATATCCATAAGAAGTCTGCTTACATTCATGTGTGCCTGCATACTTTTCTGGTCTCTTGTTGCTTCAATTCTTGTCTGCAGCCTTCGAATAGGTCTGTGAGGGGAATCTTTGACCGATAATTTTGATTCTCGTTGTCTCAAAAACTAACCTATCAAATCTGAAATTTTGGTTTCATTGAATAGAAGGGATATGAAAAGCTCCTCTCCTTAAGTGGTTGTGCGCAATCTTTTTTACACAAATATTTATTTTACTCGTAATTGTCAAATGGATTCGATTTTTGATTTTTGTGATCGTTTTGGAATGTTTTTTTTCTAAACTTTCTCAAAAACGAACCCCCAAACCTGAGGTTGTAGGTTACATGAAGATAACCGGTTGTGGGAAGCTTCGCTGCATTAGCGACCTGTCACAATATTTTGTTCAAAAAATTATTGTCCTGGGAAAAGTCAAATTTTTGATAGTTAGAGCGTTTTTCATTCTAAAATTCATGAGTTTTTCGAAATACTCTCCCATATTTTGGTTTCAAACCAACGAACGGGTTGTTAGAAGCTCCCCTGCATGCGGTACTGCGCACAGATTTTATACTGGGTTAATGTATTCAATCGAAGTTACGGTGAATATCTTCTGCATAAGTGGGAACGTTCAATTTCTAAAGAGTTTTGAACGTAGTGAAAACTCTTATATAGATATTGCTGAATTTTTTTCAGGAAAGTCTTAAAAGTCTCTAATAACTACAGATGGGCATTCATACATATTGATGCGTATATGAATGCGTTTTGGTATTTATGCACTTTTTTGAGTTCAATTCAAATTCATCTGCTGAAAGTGACGTTAATATCACTCTCCAAATACGATTAAAGGAACTCGGGCCAGAAAACATGAACGATTTCTAGTTTCGAAAGTGGAATTTAATTTTTAGATTTCCAGCGGAAAAAAAACTTTACCTGTAGATCCAGTTTTCTCAAGTTGGGATAATGTTATCAAAAAAATGCCAATCATACATCATTCTAGAAATTCAAAGAGCCTTCAGGGCACCTTTTTTCTTTGAAATTCGTTTTTTAAGATCTTTTTAACAAAGTCCCTGTTTTTTATGTTAACTTGCGTTCATTACTCTTTTCCAATCTACGATTGGCATTTTTTAAACTAAAGGCTATAGTTCTCTGAAATGTCATCTTTCTGATTTGTTGATATTTTTATTCTCGATAATTATCGCGCCAATTTTGATATCATGGTTTAATCGACACAACAGGTTGTTGGAAGCTCGCCTTTATAATTTGCTACGCCCAGTTTCTTAAGTGTTTAATCGAGCTACCCGATCTTGGGATTTTTCTCTGCTGTACTGGCCAATACCTCCCTTTAGCAGAAAAACGTTACGCGGATTTCGGAAAGTCAAGTTTTTGAATTTTTTCTGTTTTTTGTAGAAACTTTTCGAATTTTATTAAAAACTTCACTATCAAATCTGAGATGAATTTTTCGATCAAAAAAGCGGTTGTGCAAATTTATCGGTTGTGCGGAAGTGGTTGCTCCTTAATTTTTCGTCCTGTATCACTATAATAAATTCAAAAATATCAAACATGTACCTCCAGCTTTGGCTGGGACCTAGGTATCCTTCATCGAGACATACGAAAATTTTGGTTCACCTGTTTTTTTCTTAACATTTTCCATTTTTCGACTTAGGCGTTTTAAGAATAATGAACGCAGTGAACACTCTGTATAGGTCTTGTTGACTTTTTTTAAGGAAAAATATCTAATAACTACAGATTTGCATTCATACATATTCATGCGTTTATGAATGCACCTATGTATAATGCACTTTTTGAGTTCAATTGAAATTCATCTGCTGAAAGTGACATATATAGCACTTTGCAGATAGGAACGTGGAAATGGGGCAAAAAACATGGAGCTTGCTTTTAAGATTTCCCAGCGGAATAAAAACTTTACTTATTGATCCAGTTTTCTCTAGTTGAGTTCATGTTATCAAAAAAAGCGCCAATTATAAGTTTTTCTAGAAATTCAAAATGCCAAAATGGTATCTATTTTTTCCTGGAATGCGAAAGTTGAGATTTTTTTAAAGAAAGTCAGTGTTTTTTATGTTTACTTGCGTCCATACTCTTTTCCAATCTTCGATTGGTTATGTTTTATGATTTTGTTGTAGCGCAAGTTGCGCGAAGCTGCGCTTCGTGTCTTTGTCTTAAATACTTTTTAACGAGAAAACTGAGGTTCCACAAATGATCATCAGATGAGCTGAGTAATATATCATATTAAAGTCCTTTCAGTCGTGATTTGGACATAAAAAATTTCAATGAAGTTTTCTCACGCCGAAAAAAAACGATTTGCGTTTTTTTGACATTTGGTCTAATTTCGAGCGAAAAAAGCAAGCGATCAGGCTTAATATATAAAAAGAGCCGTGACACTTATTCCAGCCCTGAAAATTTAGTTTTATTTCAGTAATGTAACTTTTCGAAGTTTTTTTCTGCGACATCGATTTTTTTATTGAATGTTTTTTTTTCTCATTTCTTGCAGAAAACACTTATTCTAAATGTCCATTTAACTATGAATATTGTATACACTCAAATTTCAGATCCTTTCATCACACCACGAACAAAAAACGACACTAATGTGAAAAAGATTTTTTTTTTGTATGTGTTTTAAGATAATGTGCGGAACATGCTATGCTACTCGCACAGCAACCGGCTATACTGTTTAAGTTATAAATTTTGATATTTAGGATGATTTTTGAAAGTTTGCTTATACCTTCGGAGAGTTGTAGAGCGGTGCTATTTGAGAAACAATCAAATGTGATTCTTTTTTGCTGGGCTCTCATAGTTTGGTTAATTGAATTTTTAATCTGTTATTGCTTTGTTCAAGGCGCTGGTCGAACGTGGAGAAAAACTTAATCAAGTAGAAGATGCAACTGCCCAAATGAGAGATAACGCCCAGCAATTCTCTCGCAACGCAGAAGGATTAGCAGACAAGTACAAGAACAAAAAGTGGTACCAAATATAGATGGATGAAGAAAATAGTCACACAGGTGTATGGCCCGCGATATGTCCATAACCTTTGGCCGTACAAGCAAAGCCAGGATGTAGAATATATCAACTCTGATGGTATAGAGAGATGGTTATGTAGCTTACAATGAGTTTGAAACTCGAAAACTAAATTTAAATTATTTTTAGCCATTTTGGATATAATATTTCTGTTGTTTTGACATGTTATTGCGTTTTACAGTTATGAAAGCTGCTGTTCTATTCTAGATAGACCTGATTATTCTTTCGACGCTCGAGTTTACCGGATTCGAGTTTGTGTTGTAGATGCTAAAGTAGTTAAAGTTGGATGTTTCGGCTTTCTATATGGTGCCAATTGTATATATAATGCTGCACCAGGACATTTTATCAGCCAGCAATCGTCGACTGTTAAAACAGGGGAAAAAATATCTTAAAAATTGGGAGAGGACTGATTTTAAAATATGACTTTGTTTTAAAATATGAGCTATATGACTTAAAATCAATGCTTGTCCGAAAATCATCTCTTGCATCAAGAGAACTTGATTGTTTTCATCGTCGAACTATTAACAGTTGAATGTTGTCTTGCTTGATAATTAACTTTTAATTATTCATTTGACAATTAAAGTTTTTGCTATTTTATTTTAAACTATTTCATAATTCTGAATTTAATTTGCACCCACCCAACAACATTCCGCAGCTATGCCGAAAAACCACGATAGTTGATGCCGGTCACAATTCCAATCTTCATAAATCTACTCTAATTGTGTGCTAAAATATGGATTGATCCTGATACATAATTCAATTGTATTTACTCTATCACTGGTTACACTTGCGAAATCAAGTGTCTTGCAATCGGGAGGTAGACTTTTTTCCCGCAAACACTTTTTTTTACATCTGAAGGTGAAATTGAAGTCTATTTCTTAGTGATACTTCGTGAGACTGCTTCATGCTTGGCTTAGAAGTTACGCGTTTGTCTCTGAAACCTTTGGTTTGAGCCGGATCTTTTTTTTTTTCAGTGTATGAGTTTATAAAAAAATTTTCATCGATGCAAGTTTTTTTGATGTATTCTTGTAATTTAATTTTTCACCCTGACTTCGTGTATTTTCGTTTTTTGTTTGGCTTAAAAGTTTCATTCGGCCCAAATGTTTTCGACTTATGTTTTATGGGCTTAGTTACCCTGATTTTAATTTCAGCTCACTGAGCGGCTTAGAGCGGCTGTTTTTTGGCTCAATGAATGCAATGTCGGCTTAGTGGACGCTCGTTAAAAAATAAATACTTATGTAATGCTGTTTATTTTGTTCCTTGACTATTTATTGGATTTTTTTTATTTCTCAAAAAAAAATTCGTTTTTTTTTTAAATTTGTCTCAATTTTTTTTTTCGCTAGCTTGCAGTGCTGTCCTTGCGTAGTATCGCAAGTGATGCGAAGCTCCGCTTCGTCTCTGTGTAAAAATATTAGTTTCATTTCCCAATTATGGATGTCAATAAATATAGATCATTTCTCCGTGTATACAATTTGAAAAATGTCATAGTCTTAGATTTTTATTTTTTCATTGTCTTGTGCATTGCCGATGTAATTGCTGTTTCCGTGATCGTAACAGAAGAGCTGCAACGTAAAAATTAATTTGGCACTTTTCAAAAGCTTAAATTGAATGTAATTCTAACTGCAGCTTGATGCTTTTTACACATGACGAAAAGGTGTTTAAAAATACGTGTGAGCTAAAAATTTAATATATGATTCTACCAGAAAATTTTAAAACTATTACATTGAAAGACTTGTATAGAGCTTCAGTATTTAACCATGCAAAAATTGAGTAGTATTGATGGAAGCCGAAAGAAATCTTTTTCAACTTATGTATCAACTGGCTACGAGAACACCTTTTATGTCTTCTCATACTCGTTCAATGTTCTGGAAGTTTTCTGCCAACAGTTTCACTGGAACATTTACGCCAACTATTTTCAAAATGTTTATTGGCGCATGATTCCCGCTGTCGACGATGACTCAACTATGCAATTCATCTGGAACCAGGGTTGGCTCAACAAAGTGTTTCGAAAAGCAAATAGGTATCAATCCAAGAAAATAAACTGGCAATATTAGTTTTGTCCGCGGCGATTTGGTTAATTTTCCTGTTTTTGGCTATACACTTTGAATTAAGCTGAATCTTAAAACAGAGATTCTATAGTAATCAAAGATTGCTGATTTTAGCCCCTGGTAGATAGTTTTACTGATATGCAGTGTTTCATGTGATGGCTACAGTTATCGAGTGGTTAATAATTTTCATATTTCTGTTTGAGTTGTTAAGCCAACCTTGACTCTTTCCAGATGACAAGCTAGTGATTATATTCAAAGTTTTGCCAGAGAATAAAATAGTGAAAGGGATCAGAAATGATTTAGCTCTCAGCGAAGAAAACAAAATGTACTACATTGAGTTGGCGGGAGATGAGTTGCCGAAACTATATAGAGATGTTTTGCAGAAAGAAGGATGCAGGACTAGTTACTTTGAGGTAAATCCGAGAAATTCTAAAACAGGCATTTTCAAATAAATTAGTTCGTGTTCAAATCGATTTTTAAGAGCAAATGCCGCTGCTTGCTATCAGATCTGCGGCTCGAGGCCAAGCGAAACCTCTACTTTTTTGCCAACATGACTTCCCTAATATGAAATTTTATTCCAGATTCATCTTTTACAGCCATTTTTGATCCAAGTTCTAATTTTTCTCACGGTGCAGCTAATTGAGCTTCACATTCGATTTCATTTTTAGATTTGGATCAATTGAGCAATCCCCCTCAATTCCTGCGTGAGGAGGGCGGTAGCTCGCTATGTACTTAGGCATGATTTTGAATTGGTATGGTTTGAAATCATAAGCAGGGTTTTTTTTCCAAATGAAGGTTGGATACCAAATTTCAGCATAGCAAAACTCGAAACACCTTTCAGAGTGAAAAACATCACTGAAACTGAAACATACAAAGCCTTTTTTCGTTTCAAATGAAAAAATGCTATTGCGTACTTCATTGAGGTGCTGCAGAGAACATTTTTTTTAGTATTCAGACACAAAGTTGGAGCACCACCCCTGGTAATTTGATTTTCTCGAGGCAATGGTCGCCTAAACAAAAATTCGCATGAAATTTAAAACGTTTGTTTTTTTTTTCTGGAAAATTTAATCGTCTTATTTTCTCGACAAGGAAAATTCGGCTTAATAAGTTTCGGTTTACGTGATTTTTTTTTCACACTGGGTTGCTATACTGAATTTTGGTGTTCCACATTCATTGGAAAACTTAACTTATGAAAAAACTTAAGTCGGTCAATTGGTTTTGCCTACGCTGAACACATCAACTATCTGCTTGTGTTTGATAAGGTCTTTTGTAGCGTTTTTTTTGTTTTTGCTTTGGCCCATAGCTCAATTGATCATTACGGGGGGAGATTGCAGAATTGATCTTTTGATTTTGTTATTTCATTTCCGAAACTTCTCATAATACTTTTGTCACTGTTTTTTTATCTCATTTAATTGTCGTTCTCTTAACTCTCAGTTGAGGCTGGTGCAAATTTGTAGTTAGTCTTCTATATCTGCAATCAAAATCATCAAGTTGGAGATAATTTTTTGTTAATTGTTTTGTCGGAGTGAGGTTTTACCTGAAATTTTGATGGTCTAAATTCTGGTCTGTTCTCTTGAGTTTTTCAGTATCAGCGTGATTAAAAAATGATTTATAGGCTGTAATCTCTGATAAAACATTTTTAAAATGCGTTATGAGACTCAGTGATTGTAGTGAAGACTCTTGAATAGATGGTGACTTTTTTGTGTTCAAGAAAATGTCTCGATATTTGTTTACACTGAAAATTGATGTTTCGCGGTTTGTTGTTTGATTTTTTTTTAAATTTAATCAACTTTTCTGATGAAAACAAAGATATTTCCACTATCCAACAGCAAAATGAAAAATGAAACAATTGAGCAAATGTGACTGACTTTTCCCAAAGGAATAAAAAATATATATGTTGATCCGGTTTTTTAAATGTGTGAATTTAATCAAAAAGTGTCACTCAAAATTAGTTCAAGAATATCAAAGTGCTTTCAGATCATATCTGTTTTTCTTGGAAGTTCGAAAGTTGAAATTCTTTCAAAAATCTGTGAGTTTTTTGTGTGCTTCCTTGCGTTCATTGACTCACTTTTGTTGGCTATTGGCTATACTAATGAAAAATAGATTTTGTTTCTTACTGTATATGAATAAAATTAAAACTTTTATTTAAATCGAGTGGCTTCTTGTTTTTTTTTCAATTTTTTTAATATTAGTTTTTGATTCATTCTGGTTTAATTTTTTCATTGTGCTTCAAAATCAATTTAAATTAATTTGCGCAATAAATCAAGTTATTTTATTGATTCAAAAACTGATCGAGATAATTCATCAGCAATTCTCGTATCAGCATTTGTAATTAATTGGAAAATCAACTCTTATTCGGCATTCAAACCGAAATTATTTTTTCTCCGTTTAGGCTGGCCTTTTCTCTGTTGATTTTTTTCAAGAGTGTATAAAATTCAGACTAGTTACCGTATTCTCCGAAAAATTATTTCAGATAAATGCTGGCACTTTTTCTCACTTTTCCGAATGCTCGGTGCCATCCGATATCATTCATAAAATTTTTTTTCTTTTTTTAAAGAAATTTTGTTTCTCTTTAGCAAGAACAGTCACAAATGCAACATTTTTACAAAAAAAACTAGAGTTCATAGCGAGAAAAACCAGGGTCATAACTAATCAGTTTTCTGGTGAACGGAAAACAGTGTGTGAGAAAAGTCAAAAAACTAAAAATTCGAAACAAATTTTTCGATCGTTGTTTTACAACTGATTTATTAATGTTTTCCTTTTGCGTATTTTATGACGGTTTCTACTTTTAAACGTTGAAATTTATGGCAGTTCTTTATTCTTTGTTATTTCAGACTTGTAATTTCCGATAATTACGGTTAATTTGCGTATGATATGAATTGCTGTCAATCAGCAGCCAGCTACCCAAAACCGATCTACCTCAGAACTGAGTTAGGACCGAGTTGGTTAACTCATAGAGTAATTTCGGATAGGGTACACCGTCTGCTCGTCACGCTATCTTATTTTCGGCCGGATAGATTCGTGCAACTTCTTAGTCTAATACCGATCCTAATCTTACTCTTATACTATCTAGTCTCAGGTTGTTTAACTAGTCTCTGCTAGGCTCAATAGATCTAGGGTATACTGGTTTATTGCGGCTGTTGAAGTGCTCGGGAGAGTCCAACTAATTTCTAAGTTAAATTCAAATCTCTCTGGTGCTGAAATTACAAGTAACTTCAGCACTTACAAATAAGTGGGTTGTTAGTTAGATGGATCATGATTGGTTAATATTAAATACTTTACATTGGTAAAATATCTAATTTATCCAATCATAAAATGTAGTTTAGATCAGGTTCCACCCATCCGGGTTTTACAGAGTTTTTTAGAATAGTTCTTCTGCAATTTGAAGGATGGATGATGGAAGTTGGTGTTTGGCGAACATCTTATTTCTTCTGTTTCCTTTTTGTTAAAGAAGTTCCAGGAAGCTGGAGTTAGAGACATAAGACGTTGTGTCTTCTAGTGACAACGACTAAGTCTTTGCCACAAACTCAAATCTGATTTCAGAATGGTTGGCTATGTCAGGTTTTTCTGTTCTGCGTGGAAAACTTCTTTTGTGTCTGATCTAGTTTGGGAATGGCGTGGAGATTGTGCGTGGAGGGGATGCCTGGTTACTCGGATCTGTACGTATACTTGAACATCGAGGTGGTCATTGGTCTAGTTCAATGAAGTCCTTTTCTGCGAAGTCAAGTCGTACTCTAAATCCTTTGAGTTGTGATTGTGAGTGGCATATCGATTGTGGTTGGTCATTCTCTCTCGAGTGTAGTGGGGTCGTTTTGTCTTTAGATGTTCGTCCTTGGTGTTGTATTCTGATCTATGTATTGCATAATGTAATTTACATTTTATAAAACATTTATTAGTTTAATATTTTTTAATTATGATTTTAGTTAGTTGTTTTCACAAAAGCTTTTTGTTTTAGTTCGGTTATTTTGAAGAGTTACTCACACTTGAGTAGCTCTTATTAAAAATAGAGGTGTGGTCACAAAGCGTGGATGTAGCGCGGTGGGTTAGGCCGGCTATAGAGCATGCTCAGGACGTCCTTCCTGGTGGGTTAGGCCAGGAATGGGAGTATGATTTCATGCGGTTTTTGTGAGGGGTCCTGTTATGTGACAACGTTTTATGTTGGGTTTGTTGTGGTTTTTCTTATGTCTTGTTGGTTATGTCCTTTTTCCAAAAAGTAAATTGTTCGTGGTATGGGTTTGTCTTTCGACTTTTTTGTGTTTTATTATTTCTTTCTTAGACTTTATAATAGTCTTCAAAAGAATAAATTATCCAGTTTTAAACTGGGTTAATCCGGTTTGGGTACCGTTGGTTTCCTTTTCTTAGTCATGCTGTTATTCTATGATTTGTGGTATTTAGTAAGCTGCGTTGGTTAGTTTTGTTTAGTATATGATTCCTTTCCAACCGGGTTAAAGGAAAGTTTGAAACATGTTATTATATGTTAGAGTTGTTGAGTGTGAAAACTTGAAACTGAAATTCATTATTTTTAAACAATTCTTCGTGGGCGAGCTGTGCGAGTGTGGATAGAATTTCTGTGCGAATGAATGAAAATATCAAAAGGTTAGTACTGCAATTGCATTTTATTAATTTACTGCATAGAATTTGGAAATTTACTGCTAGTTATGGGGGAATTTTAAGTTACAAATTTTCATTATAATTAGATTTACTGCTTGTGGGGAAAATTTTAGAAATGAATTTACTGCATTGGTATTAAATTTATAAATTTATAAGTGTAAGAGATTAATAGAATTGTTGAAGTCTGTTTGATGAAATTTGCGATCTTTATTTGTTTTTTTGTGGTTTTTGTAGGTGATCGTCGGATGAAGGCTAAAAATCTAAGGAAAACATGGATAAAGTATGGTGAGTTTTTTAATATTTCAATTAGTTAGTAATATTCATTTAATTCATACTTACCTGTTAGTCGTCGGGGAAAAACCGTGGGGGAAGATGTCGTGGATGAGATCGGAATTTGTTAGTAGTTTAGCTAAGATGCGGATGATATTTTTAGTCTGAAGCAGTGGCCAAAGCAATTGAAGTGCCTTAATAGTGGTTAGTTCTTCAGTGCCAACTGCAAACTCATAAGGTGTGTTTTGGATTAGATTATATAATTTGTGATTGAATTTAGTGTTGTGGATGAATTCTAAAATTGGGATTTCTATAGGTTGTACAAACTCGTGCGGGATAAGGAAGGGTCGGGATTCTTCGGCGTTGAAGGTCTTGGTGATGGGACAGAAGATGTACATTTGGGTTATGGGGTCATAATTACGAAGAATACCATGAAGGTTAGTATCTTTAATGCAATATGTGAAATTTAGGAAAAATGGTGAAGTGTATTTGGAATTAATGAATTGAAAACGATGGTGTGGTTGTCTAGAGG